GTATGTATGTGCATACGTATGTATGTACACGCGCATCTATCTGTCGATATATATATATATATAAGCATATTTCATATGTATGTGTACTTGTATGTACTATGCGTATGCGTATATACCTATACAGATACATACATATATATATATATATATGTATATACATATATATATATATATATGTATATCTATATATGTATGCACATGTGCACATATATATGTATATATACATATATATATATATATATTTATACACATTCATACCTATCTGCACACGTATGTGTACATATGCACGCATGTCTGTATGTACGTATGTATGTACGCACATATCATATATATATATGTATGTATGTATGTACACATTTCATTTGTATGTATATGTATGTGAAAATGTGTGTGTACATGTATGTCTATGTGTATGAGTGCATGCATATTTACATGTGTATATATATATGCACATATGCACACATACACATATATGTATATACACACATACATATCTGCGTATGTATGTGCACATATGCATGCATGCATGCATGCATGGATGGATGGATGGATGGATGGATGGATGGATGGATGGATGGATGGATGTATGTATGTATGTATGTATGTATGTATGTACGTGTATGTATATACGCATATGTGTGGATACCATGCTTCAGAAGATGTCCATGCCGGAAAGAGGCATGAAGATTCTAGGTGGCAGCAGTCCCTCCGAAACTCCTGGGTTTGCCCAGGCATACAGCTTGACCGAGTCCTGCGGTTTGTTTTCGTTTTTAAGCCATGCCTCCGGGAGCATTTAGTCGACCCCTCCGGCTCAAACGGCACATCCTAGTCCAAGGCTCTGCGCCCTCCTGGCAGCGACTGTGCAGCGCCTGGCTACGGGCGGTCGGGCCTGCGCCTCAGCCCTGAGCCTCTCGAGGCCCTCCGATGCCCACTTTCAAGGTGCTTGAGGCCTGAGGCTTGGCCTGAGAAACACCGCGACGCCTTTGTCGCGCGCCTTCTGCAGTCACACTGGGCTAGCGGTTTACCGACGTTAACGCTGGGTCCCGCTGGGTATACGGTGTGACCGAGCGAGGCCGTCATCATTTGCTTCAAGGCGAAAGAGGCCGCTGCCAGAAGTGCATCACCAGTAATCGGTAAGGCTTGACGTGTGGCGGCCGTTCTCCGGTCTAGATGGCACTGCCGATCATGTCAACATGTCGGCCGACTATCAAGCAGGAAGACTGTATAGTCATAGTCCCAAGCTGGAAACCCACTTCGTCTTGCACCCTCGGAGGTTTCCACAGTGCGCCAATGGCTTCGTCAGCATGAGGCGCACCGGCCCTCTATGCAACTACAGGTCCTACAGATGCTCACAGCATGCGAGAGACAAAGAGACTTCAAGCAAGTTCCAGACTGGCTCGTCGTCAGGAGCCGAGTCCTGACATTGTGGCAGGTTGGCCAGAGGCTGGGTAACTCTGGGCATGTGGGAATGGAATCTCAGGCTCTTGCAGAGGCCCCCTGTCAATTAACAACATTTTAGTCCATCTGCTGGCACTTGCGTTGGCACTTGCGTGGCAGTGGGATTGCTTTTCGCTTGCCCATTGGATGCGAAGACTATGACCATGCTCCAGCAAAGAGCTGAGCAGCAAGACATGTTCTTGCGTATAAAAACGAGGGATTCACTTCCAAAACCTGCTGAGTCAGGAGCGCCTTCTCTCCTTGTATCCACTTCTCCAGCGAAGCTGCGAGGACCCGAGGGGCTGAGCCTATGTCGCAACTTCACCGGGGGCTAGCCTATGTCGCAACTTCACCGGGGCTCTGGGAGGGCTACTACTCAACCCCTCAAGAAGAAGCCCTAAAAACCGGTAGCCCCCACGTCCTAAGCCCGAAACGAAAGAAGAGCCCTAAGCCCGAAGCCCCGTAAGGCTCTCTACCTCTGCGTGTTTTTGTTTTTCGGGACCCTAAACCCTAAACCCTAAACCCTAAACCCTAAACCCCCAAACCCTAAACCCTAAACCCCAAAAACCCAAAACCCTGAACCCGGGGAATGGTTTGAGTCGGGCTTTGCGAGGAGCAGCCCTGGTGTATCACGGAGGCCAGGACCTCGGTTTCGCAGGAATCATCCGAAGATCGAACTCCCAAATGGGCGTTTCCGAAAATTGGGGGTATCTTATTTTGGGGTCCCTCTAATAAGGATCCTACTACTTAGGGTACTATACTAGGGTCCCCTATTTTCGGAAACCCCCAAATAATTCCCAATATCCTTCAACCCTAAACCCTACACCCTAAACCCTAAACCCTGAACCTACACCCTAAACCCTAAACCCTAAACCCTAAACCCTGAACCTCAGGGCTCCTTGTTAGAGTTATAGTAACGATATGCCCCCCCCAAAACCAATTCCTAACTTGTTAGGGGCCCCTACATCGCCGCTTCTCGTTCGTGGAGCCCCTAGGCCCGGCTCATATCGGGGTCTGAAGAAGTGCTATGATTATCCTTATCGTCCATCGTTTCGTTTTTTTGGTCTTTGTGAGTAGTATTACTATTTCTATGATTTCTTTTTTGAGTTCTCTTCTTAGGCTTACTCTTGCTCTTGCCCCTACTGTTTCTCGTACTCTTGGTCTTAGTCTTGTTTTGATCCTTGGTCTGCGTCTTGCTGCTATGACTGCTGGATGGCTGGATGGATGGACGGATTGGTTGATTGATTGATCGACTGATCGATGGGTTGATTGATGGGTTGATTGATTGGTTGATTGTTTGATTGTTTGGTTGATTAGAAGCGATGACGATCGTCGCTCTTCTCAAAAATATTCCGCTTGTCGCTATTCTGGCTATCATCAGTATTTTCTACGATTCTACAAGCTCTTATACTAATTGTCGCAGCATCTCTCTGTGATGTTATGTCGGTTCTACCGGGACCTGGGCGCCTGACAGGGTGCGGGGATCTTGGCCGCCGTTCTCCCTGAGGCCCTGCGCCCGCTGAAGCCAGAACCCACCGAGGTGCAGGTCTGAACCGACGGTGTTGGGATTGGGGGTTTAAGGGGTTTAGGGTTCAGGGTTTTAGGGTTCAGGGCAGTTTAGGGGTTAAGCGCTTAGGGTTCAGGGTTTTAGGGTTTAGGGCAGTTTAGGGGTTAAGGGTTCAGGGTTGATCGCGACTCAGCCGATAAGGCCTCTTGGGACTTGGGATGTCGATGGCATGTTAGGAATGTCTAGGTCTGCGGTGGTGGCGGTGCCTTGAAGCTCAGCGGTTCTGAAACCCGAAACCCTAAACCCTAAACCCTAAATCCTAAACCCTAAACCCTGAACCCTAAACACCAAACGCTTCTGAAGCGAGTCGGGCGCGGCAGGCCAATGCCCGGGCACGGAATGCTCGTGCTCTCGTACTTGAAAAGCGCGAAAGAGCCTTTGGAGCAAAAAGGGCGCGGCAGATGTTTTTAGCATTGCATAAGCTTATAGCACCTATGTATACATGTATATTTTGTGCCCGTTCTGCCATATGAATGTACGCAGGTGCCAGACACGATCTGACACTTTGGATTATTTTTGTTGCTATGAGTCGCTTTATTGGTTACTATCACTGCCGCTGTTATGGCTACGGTCAAGATTGTGATGGCCATTGTCAGTTTGATTCATTGTTGTTGTTATTGTTATGACTATTGCCATGTATGCTAATCTTGTTGGTGACATCATTAATGGATATCATGAGGTGCGGCAACGTGACGGTATTCCGGTCTTGCTAGAATCAGATTCTGAATTTCTACTGCCTGCTTGTCTTACCTCGGACAGAAGCAGTTCTTCCTTGGAGACTTGGCGCGGGCATAGGCAAACGAAGCGTTGCTTGAGGGTCCATGCAAGCAGAATGACGAGGAGCCATGCATCTCGGTGGGATTCAGGAAGGGACAACTTTTCGTCACCGTCGTCTTGGCTGCATGCGGGCAGAGGCAGAGAGCATAATCTATCTTTTCTTGGATGCTATTTGCTGATCATGGTCTATGTAGATCCTGATGAGGCAGGTGTGAGCTGGGACTTTAGGAGTCTAGGTTCAAAAGGAAATCGAGATAAGAAGGTCACCTAGGACGACTTTAGTTTCAGTGCAACCAATCGGGACACTTACATCACCTCATCTCCCAACCGTCGCGCTGGATTTTCTTGGCCACGCGACGTCCTGGACGGCAATCCAGGCTTCGCATGCCCTCGGCGTTAGGGTTTAGGAAAAAAGAGAAGTCAGAGCAAAAGCAAGTCGAGCTGGTGCAATCTGCCGGGATGCCTGGAGGCGCCGTAAAGTTTGCTTTCAGCACCCGTGCGTGTGATTCGCAGTCAGGGAAACAGGGGGCGAGGGCGACAGAGAAGAGCCATCTCACCCTCCCTCCGGCGAGGGATTGCATCTGTGATTGAGACTGAGGCGAGTCATTAGTACATCATTAGAGTCATGAATTCTCATGAACACTTGAACGACCTAAAACCTCGGCATAGTTTATTCTGACTCCTTTGCAGAGCGAGAAGCAGGCGGCATGGCGCTGCGGCACCGGCAAGTCCTCGCAGCAACTTGGATCCTCAAACAGTCGGAGGAGCCTCCTGCACTTGAGCTCTGCTTGGAGGTTCATGGGTAGTTATAAGTGGGGCTATAAGTCCCCTAATATGGGTTATACTTATGGTTACCCTACTTATAACCCCACTTATAACCACCCATGAACCTCCAAGTGCCTTTCTGCCAGCATAGTTTCGTCAGTAGAAGTGCGCGTCTGCCTTCCCGGGCGACCTAGGCCATTGTGGCCGTATCTGCGTGGGCCCCTGCTGCATCGATTAAGCGAGTGGAGCAGGGCAGCCGAAGCTGTCTGCAAGCCTGCACAGACAAGCAGTCACCAATCGCAGTGTGGGAAGCAATCCTTTACTGCCTGCCCAGGTTTCGCCGCTCTGTTTCTTGCAGGGGCCGACTAGGTTGCCAGAGCCCCGCACGTGGCGGTTGCTTGACTCAGGGTGAGTTTCTCTCGCTCACTCGCTACTCCGCTACTTCATTCGGCAGCCCGGTGAGGATGCAGGGTCCGTGGCACCGACTGTGTGTAGTATTTTTCGATCAGTTAGCAATGCTACCCCTTTATAGTCCTCCGTTCCCGAACCCTGTTCACAGTCTTTGAGATCGAGTGGGAACTGGGAACTGATGCAGGTGGGGATCGTCAGAGTCCAGACGGCCACGATCAGACAGACTGCCGCGGGCTTGTTTTCTTTTGCATGGCAGCCTGAACAGTTCAGCATCATACATTTTAGGCCCCATGGTAGATTCTCATACTTCCACTTCTTAGGGTCCACGGTGTACTTACGGTATAACACACCCCCCAAAAGGCCCTACTCTGACTCTTCAGGCCCCTATCTTACCCCATGCGGCTCAGCATTTTGATTGCGTCGTCGACCCTTTCAAACTGGAGGAGGTGTAGCCCTAAGCCCTAAGCCCTAAGCCCGAAACCCTAAGTTCTAAACCCCAAACCCTAAACCCTAAACCCCAAAGCCCTAAACACTAAACTAAATCCTGAACCCCAAACCTGCACCCTAAACCCGAGGCCCTACACCCTGAACATCCCTAAACCCTAAACTCTCCACTTGCTGCACTCACGTCTCCCGCAGGATATGTATGTATGTATGTCTGTATGCATGCATGTATGTATGTATTTATGTATGTATGTATGTATGTATGTATGTATGTATGTATGTATGTATGTATGTATGTATGTATGTAGTATGCATTTTTATATCAAATCATCCTATATTATATTATTTTATGTTATTATGTTATGTTATATTACAGGTCATTATATTATATTATGTTATATTGTATTCTACTATGTCATGTTATATTAATTTTGCTTTTTATTATATGGTATTATGTAATATGAGGCTGCGGAGAGCTGAAGGAGACGATGCCGGGACACTCAGCAGTTTGGAGGCTCCATGGCTGCCTGCTGACAACTCTTCGCATGAGCTTAGGAAGCTGTAGGCCTTGCTACATATGGGTGGTTGTCAAAACTATGGTCCCTTTTTGGGTCCTTATTATAATACGGCACCTATTATTTAGGGTACCCGGGTACCCCAAAAGGGACCATCATTTTGACAACTACCCATATGGAAGTAAGGGTCACGAATGGTTATTGCAGTATCGGGGCTACCATATAAGGGATGAATAACGGTTTGGTATTTACGGGGATATTACAGGGAGATCAAAGAAGGATTCTTATCAGTCTTACTATGGGGCAGTTGTGACGAAACAAACACCATGCTGCTTGATGCCTTGTGAAATGCCTGGGGTTGCCGACCCTGGAAAGTTTGCCAAGGGCTACACGGGGGCTGGAGGGTTGTCGCGCCTGCCCGAGCCGCGACTGAAGCGGGCACCTCAATCATCACTCCCGCCATGACCCGAAATTCTCAACAGCAACCCAAAACCCAAAACCACAGACATTTTGGGGTCTTTCCATTTTCGGCTCTTCTTGTCCAAGCTGAGCAGGATGGGAGCAGTGCTGTTGGCGACAGCAGGCCGCTGCATACTAAGAAAGCCAGGAGCACACGGAGGATCAGGGGACTTAGTAAGTAAAGGTATATCTTCACTGAATTTAGCGAACACTATTTATTTATATCTTAATTTACTCTGTCTGTAAACCTGGCTACTAAGTCTCGTGATCCTTTGAGAACTTGGAAGTGTCGGGATGGCGAGAGTGGGTGCTGTCGTTGCTATGACGGAACTCGTGGAGTAGAAGCTGACTTTGCAGGCATGCCCCGCTTCTCGCTGTCTGCAATCAGCGACATTTGTCCCGGACGCCAACCGCATAGTTTCAATCCAACAGCCCAGTAGCAATCATATGGGTAGTTGTCAAAATTATGGTCCCTTTTGGGGTACCCTAAATAATAGGTGCCGTAGTATAATAAGGACCCAAAAAGGGACCATAGTTTTGACAACCACCCATATGTCAACTCCGGAAGCCCTGTGACAGTGCCTGGTGGAACGATCCAGAGACGGCCTCCTTGGTGGACAAGCTCCAGGCGATCCTGTCACTCAAGAGCTGGTATACTCAAGGGACTCAAGGAGGGACCCTTGGGGAGAGATATATATATATATATAGGGTATGTGGATATTGTTCCATAATATACTACCACGTGCTACGTACTTCTTGCTACTTACTGCTTACTGCGACTTCTTCACTCTCCCTGACCCTCGCTCTCAGAATGCAGCGGGAAGGTGGAAGAGACCACCGACGCCTTGCAAAAGCTCCGGAGGTTGGCGCAGACAGTCTGTGATTCTTGCGCAAGTCCCGCTCTGGAACTGAAGTCGAATCTAACTTAACTTAGAATATGCAACACACATGTATGTATGTATGTATGTATGTATGTATGTATGTATGTATGTATGTATGTATGTATAGTATAGTATAGTATAGTATAGTATAGTATAGTATAGTATGTATAGTATGTATCGTATCGTATCGCATAGTATAGCATAGTATAGTATAGTATAGTATAGTATAGTATAGTATAGTATAGTATAGTATAGTATAGAACATAGAACATAGAACATAGAACTATATTACGTAATGTATAACACCGAACATGTCATATGGAATATAGAATATGATATAGAATCGCTGTAGAGTCTGTAACAGTGCAAGGCAGATGACACTGGAGGAGCAAGCTTTCGATCAGGAAATCGAAGATGCCTTGGTGCCCAGTGTCTGAGGGACATTTGGGCTCGAAAGTCTGGCAGTCGGGGGGTAGGGGAGAGTGTAGTGACGGTTTAGGGTCTTAGGGCCTTGTAGCATGTTTTGGGGCTTCTGAGGTTCGACTAGATGACCTCTGCATAAGGTAGGCAAGGAGTGATATGCGCGGGCTTGACCCGGCTAGTGGCAAGTGAATGTGAGTTGAGGTTGGCACATTACGAGTCAGTACATTGCAAGACCGCCTACGAGCAGGAGGTTGCCTTGCATTGCTGCTTTGGTGTCTTCAGCTTCTAGAAGCTTCCCTCCATGCCGAGGTTATCATTGCAGGCAAACGAGCTTTGCTGAAGTGCGGTGCTCAGCTGATGTTCTTCAGCCAAAGATGCCTGTGGCCTTCAGTCAGCCTTGGTGTAACCAGCATCCCCACGATCTGAAGGATCAAACCGTAATTCGCAGTGCGGCTGACAACCTAATTAGCATTGACCTCGGCTTCGTTTGCCTGTGTGTTTTTTCTCGCCCGTGCCTGCATGTCTGTGTTTGTCTGCATGCGTGTGTGTCTTGTGGGTGCATGATGATGCATGGAGCTTCGGCAAGCCAGCCCGTTCAAGACCATTTCAAAAGCTGTCAGGCTGCGCATGCAGCGCGCCGTGGAGATGCCAGGGTCGGATGCTGCATGTTTGCAGACGACCTGCCTGGATCATGGCCGGTTAATATGGGGGCTTAAATAATTAGAATAGGGTTTTGGGGCCCATTATACTATGACTATAATAAGAAACCCCCCAACAAAATATAGGTAAGTGTTCAGGCCGCTACATTAGGCCGTTTGAAGGGTACTGGGGTGCAACATGAGCACCAAGCGAAGGGACCCGATTCTGAACGGATGCGGAAGTCCAAGTTGCAAAAAGGCCTGAGCACAAGAAGCCGAGTATCCGTTACTCAGAAACATGCAAGGAATACTGTATACTGGCAAAGTGGCGACGGCGATTTTGGATGGTGGCCATCATGGGCATATCCGTGATATATATATATATATATACATACACATATATATATATATACATATCTTGGTGGTGGTGTTGAAAACTATGCCGGGGAGGATGCCGATTGCAACCAAGGTGGTGAAATCGGTGCAGCGATCGCAGTGTCGCCACGCTGCCACCGTAACGACGATTAGGGCCAGCAAATTTTTCATGTGTGATGAGCTGAGCTTGCTAGTAGGATGGATAGATCCCTGGCTGCCAGGATGAAGACGCACATGTTCAAGAAGATTCGGAAGCAGATCGCCAGAGCGATGACTCTGAGGCCCGTTGTTGCCGGGCCTCTAGGGTTTAGGGTTTGTAGGGTTTGGGTTTTTTAGGGTTTTGGGGTTTAGGGTTTAGGGTTCAAGATATTTGGACTGTCGGAAGACTACCAGGAAACGGGGTTTAATAGGGCTTAGGGCCGAGGGTTGGTTTATGTTTTTTTTTTGGAGCGGTGTTCTTTTCGGGTTGCTTTCAGGTCTTCAAGAGTTGACTCTGTATCATTGCTGTATTGCTGCTGTTGTTGCTGTTGTTGTTGTTGTTGTTGTCATTGTCGGCAGTCCCCGTCGACTGGTCGGCGAGCACTCGTCGTAGCAGTAGTCGTAGTCGTCGTCCTGCTTCATACTAGTACTAGTGCTGGCGTCCCCTCACCACGGTGGCTGCAGTGCTGTACGTTCGGGTGGGGAGGGGGTGGGGGAGCGCTCCTCCCTCCCTTCCGGTCCCCCTTAAGGTACATCTGTTCAAAAAACACGGCAGCTTTCTGTGGCCGAGTGCGTCTGCATAGCTTTAGTCATAGTCATGCCTCATTAATTTGCTAAGCTACCACCAGGACAAGTCGAAGCCGCTCTTAGATGGCCCGGTTATTGCTTATGCAGGGACATTCCGCAGCGCAATATGGTCGGTCAAGGTACTACGACAAGGGCGTATCTCGTGGGCCAATGTATGCGGAAGAATTCTAGGATCTTGCAGGTTTCAAGACTTTTCAAGCTTCATGGCCATACATGTGTTCTTGCGTCCTACTACTACTACTAACTACTACTACTACTACTACTACTACTACTACTAATAGTACTACTACTACTAGTACTAGTACTACTACTACTACTACTACTACTACTACTACTACGACCACCACTACCACGACCACCACTACCACTACAACTGCCATGACCACTATATACCACTACCACGACGACGACTA